AAGATATCAATTTAATGGCCTGTGAATCATCGAGCATTTCAGCGGGATACAGTAGAAACAATTTTATCTCCAGGTATCTGTCATGATTCTTCGAATGGTCGGTTATCAAGTCAATGGTTGTTTTGATATATCTAGTCTCTGCCTTATTGTTCTGTGGTATAATATAATGCTGCGTCATTTGTTTCCCGCCGTGACACCGGTTTTACCCGTACGCTGGAATTTAACGTTTGCTGGTGGTCATTCAAGCATTGAAATATAAAATCTAATGTTCCTTTGATAGTAACTCGCTCACCATGTCGTGAACACCGGTGTGATTGATAATAAGCAAATGTATTCTTTGCAGGATTTTCGTGTGCACCCTGCTGCACTATTCCTAATAACATGAATAATAGTGCTAAAATCTGTTGAAAACCATGACGTAAAACCTGAACAAATTTTAAGTTGGAAAACACGCAAGTTTCAAATTCTATTTCATAAATAATTTGCTGACATAAGTACATGAAAAATGTATTAATTAAGAATAACATAGCAGCTGTCAATGTAGCGGCATGGCATCAGTTGTTGCAAATAGATAGCAATAGTAACGCATTCAAAGCTTGCAAAAGGTATCAAAATGTACCACGGGACGTAAGCCTGTTTCAGTTGCTAAGAAATTGGCATTCTGCGCTGCGAACTCCATTTCATTCGTTAGGGTTGAGGTTGTCGCTAGTTGCTAAGATGAATCATGAAATTTTTCAAGACGCGCATTTATTTTCTTTGAAAAGCAGCGCTTCATTTTTAAGTGCTTGGCTTGGTAAAATTCTATGGCAGACGGAAAATAGAATATTCATGGAAAAAGTTTTTTATGCAAACTATGCTTACAACTTTCAATGTGATTATTCTTAAGCGTACATATTTAAGATAGCATTTTTGCATGCGCTTATTCATAATTTGATCAAAATCGAGAGCTCATTGCTTCTCAGTGGATGAATGAATTTTCAGCAGTCATAGCTATGATAGCGATTTTGTTCATCGATGATTAGTACGTAAATTGTTACTTTCTGTGCTACGAACATCGATTGCTATCTTAGGCAACTACGATAAAAGAAAACGAACCGCTTCATAATGCTGAACTAATGCATAAAAATCGAACCGTCGCGATTTCATACGCTTAGTGCATGGAATAGATTGAAACATCGAAAGAAAAACCCTTATGCCGTGACTCAGCACACACACCAACAAGATACTCTATCTTAAATAAATTAATCGTAAATTTGTGATCATGAAAGTTATAGAATATAGAATTTAAGAAAGACCATGAAAAATTATCATTGTGCAAATTCTAGCGATTCTATGCTCAACAAACAGGAATGCGAAAAATGTATACTCTTGATTTAAAATGAACATGACTCATGTTGAACCGCGTGGTTTACTTCGAAATCGCAAAAATCGAAAATTAACGTCGATTGACCAGGTAGAACATGGAACGGAAAAACTGTATAGCGCATCGTATTATATCATGTGCATTCGAAATCTTTTTGTTCTAAAAGAGGTCTTTTGGCGATTTGAATGAAGCCATATGATCGTAATACTCATCTGCGCTGCGCTCAGATTACTGTATACTTCGATGTCAGAAATTTCGGCGTTTTGCATTCCTACATAGAAACACTCATTTATGCAAGTAGACTCCCATTTACGGACCTGACCTCATCGTTCACTGAGATTGCATTTGTATACCAGTTCGCTTCTATAATAAGATTCTGAGCAGCAAAAGACACTCGCTGCATAGGGATATTGCCAGTTCAGGCTCGCTGCACCAAATTTTATATGCATGCCGGTCAGCAGCCTTTCGTCGTTTCGTTTTTGGGGACATGACGATAAGGACCCTCTTTTCCCTGCTCTGCATGGCTTCATGGGCAGCCCTTCTACAAGTTGAATTGAAAGCGTTATCGAAAAGGTGTCTCAGAGGGGGAACTCGATGTGTTTTGCATGTATAAATCATTCGACGCACCACCAGAAGACGCCAGCTCTACTAAGCAAGCTTCTTATCACTTCTCGATACCTTAATTGTACAGGGACATTGTCCCTTTACTATCAAAATCATCTAATCTAGTCATTATTTGGTATCAGTAATCGAATGATAATGACTACTATCAGCGGAATGGGAAAGCTGTTGCTCTTGCTAGCTACCCCACATAATCATAACTTGCTTGTTAATGGAGAGTGACATTTTCATCCGTGTTTGGTCCAGTGTTAGATTCCATGTCCAATGAAATGACGCTGCGTATACCTCCTATGAACTGAAAGGGCTAGGAACTTTGGAGATGTTTCCTCCCCATTATCATGTAACTAGCAGAAAGGGGATGGTGAGATATAACAGTATACCCGGATTAGTCAAATTCAGCCGTGCCTGGGACCGGCAGTGGCGGAGTTCACTGAGAATTAATCATTTACGTTTGTTTTATTGCATGTCTGCATAGGCCTGGATGATAGGACAGTTGGAGACCGCGGTGATATCATCGTAAAACTTAGCCACCTGCCTCTCACGGAATTTCTGTCATCAAAAAGTATAGCCTTTATATCGTTTGCCGGGTTAACGAGGGCCGCGCAGGCTGTTGGAGGACAGAAGCAGACTGCAAAAAGCCGGCGATCAGAACCTGTTCATTGCCCTCTGCCAGACGGGGGCGTGGCAGCACAACGACGGCTGACGAAGAACGACGGAACGACGACGATGATACTAGTCAGCAACGGAGTCGCTACCCGTTCTGAACGGAGGAGGCAGACATCGCGATGCCATTACAGCACGTCAGAAAAGACACCACGAGAACAACACCGCCAGTGGGAGCTTACAGTCTGAAATTGGAATATGTCTTCATTCAGAAGGAAAGAGCAAGAGTTGGTTGATGAGGTCATAAAGTACCAACTCGATATTGTTGGACTCTCGTCAACGAAACGCCAAGGCTCTGGACTCTTGAACCTAAACGGATGGAAGCTATTCTACTCAGGCGTCGATATCACGACTCGCGCCCATGCCGATGTTGGTGTTCTGGTAGAACCCAACCTCGCAGTAGAATGATTGTTTGGAAGCCTGTCAGCAGAAGGGTGGCAATACTCCGATGAGAATATAACGGATCAAATCTTTTATGTTGCTACAGCTCTATGCACCTAATTTGGAGGGGGAATATGACTCCTTCCTTGAGGAAGTGGACTGTGTCCTGTACAAAGTGCCGAACACGGAGTCCCTCATGTTTGAGTAGGCATTGAAAACTTGAAGGGTATAATTGGAAAGAGCAGCCCTAGCTACCTCAACAATGAAGTTGCTGAAGTTTTGTACAAGCAACGGACTGTCTGTTAAGAACAATTTCTTCGGGTATCGCATCGTGTATCAGCATATATGGTATAGTGAAGCGTGTGCATAAAAGTTTATGGTTTATTTGATGATCGTATCGTCTAACTTCAAGACGTTCTGCAGTGGATTTTTGCGTTAAGAGACGCAGAGCTGCCAACCCATCATCATATTACTGATACGCACATAGTGAGATAAAAATACCATGCGAAGTTATGATGGCAGAAGCAACTGGAGAATCAAATGGTAAACATTTTTTCGTCGGATACGAGAGCGAAGCTTGCAACAACATCGCACGACGGTTTAATCAAATCCCGGAGATAAACACTGACTTAGAAACCGACTGGAAGCTGATGAAGAGGGCCTACTCACGGCTGCCGCCTGGAGTACAGAAATGAACTTCGCTATGGACACGAAAGGAACAACTGACCGCCGCCAAGAAGAAGTATGCATCCAAGAAATGGCTTGGAAGCAAAGAGCCTTCAACTGGCAGGAGATATGTTAAAGTGCGCTAGGCGGCAACGAAAGCTGTGGCGAAAGCCAAGGCTGATTCCAGAGAGAAGTTCATTGAAGCGTTGAAAGTGAATTTCAAGACGGAGAACAATGTATTCTGGCAGATCATCCGGTACCTCCATGCTACCGAATGAAGCACAGTATAAGAATCCTGAAGAACAGGTCTGAACACCCTCCTATTGAGGATCAAAACATTCTTCGGCGATGGAAAGAATACCTTGAGGAACTGCTCAAGCCTAAGCAACTGTCGAAAGATTCTCCTCAGAAACAACATGGAAGGAATATTAACGTATCTGTAACTGAAATCACACAAGTTGTGAAAAGCTCGTAAAGTGGATAGGCTGCTTGAATCGATGAAATCCGAGCTACATGCTCAAACCATTAAGCGAACAAAGCATATTATTACTTACAGTGTCCTTGAAACTGCAGTGGCTACGTGAGCGCAAGCTGGCGGATTGGAGAACGGTGTTTGCAGCACCCCTGTTCCAGAAAAAAGATAACGGATAATGCTTTAATTGTCCGGGCATTACGTTATTCAGCCTACGGGATAAATATATTTGCCTTACGCTAGATTGTTAAGAAATCGTTGGGTTTCGTCCATCCAGTGGACATGTGCTTTA